ATGAACTATGAACATCCTATTGCTAAATCCAATAGACAACTGTTCAACTAGGCTTGACTTTTGAGCTTCCATGTTGGTCTCTGCATCATCCACTTTTAGCAAGAATCTTGCTCAGTCACTGTAGCCAGAATCCCCACCCTCACTCTCTGATTGGTTTCCTTACTTTTCACTATCCACAGGTGATGTCTGTTCACCTTGGCCTGTTTTCAGCAAGAATCCTGTTCTTACCCCTGATGCTTCCTCTTAGTAACTTTCCATCCACTGAGCCCCACCCTGCTCCTAAATTCCAAGTTTTCCTTGTCACATTGGGAGTTGAGCCTGATCTCTCTCCCCTATTACAAAACCCCATCGTAGTAGCCCCACTTGAATGAAGTCTGCCTTAACGTCTTTAACAACCATCATGTATATCATCTTATGAAGAGTACATGAGAGCTCAGAGAGAAGGGTTGAAGCTTAACTTCCCAATACTTCCAAAAGGTTAGCTGTTTCTGTTTTATGGGCCCAAATGGAATTACTAAGAGATGAGAAAAATTCCTCACATGATCATTAGCATAAACTGTTGAAGAAGTTTGTTCTTTCCACATATGCCCTCTTAGCAGTTGTTCTTATGACAAACACACTTCTGCAATTTGGCCCAGTGACTCAGACTTTCTGATCAGGGCTCTGCACTTCCCAGCTGAGCCCTGCCACTGGCACCTGCCCCCAGCATCATTTTCCTCATACAGAGACAGTGCAGTATTGTCCTTCCCACCCTGAAGTACTCTTGGGATAATGATATGAAAATGCTATGTAGTTTTAAAATACTATATAAACTTAGATGTTGATATTACCCTCACGGACACATTTCTGTGGCTTTGACAACCTAAAATATCAATCCTATCAAACTTCTAAGAGACGTTCCTGAGACTGCAGATTTTGACATTTTACATGGAAGTTGTTGTTTTAAAAGAAGGTGGTGGGGAGTTTTCTTCTTCAGACTTGAGTATACAGATGAGATGGTAAAGGGTGAAGGGAAGAGGAAGATGGATAGGGGAGGTCTTAGCAAACAAATCTTGGAGAACCAACCTGCAAGAAATGGGAATGCCAGACAAGAGCTTAAAAAAAAAAAAGGTCCATACTATAACATCTGTTATTTGAGGAGACATTAAGAAAATGTTTTGGTGTACACTGCCTTTTCTAGAAGTAGCCACACATTGCAGAGGGAATAAAAATGAAAATGACTCTATTTATTGAGCTATTCTCTTTCCCAGGCATTGTGCTAATCACTTACATATAGTTTATCTTCACAGCTACTCCTTGGGAGAGTAGTATTATCTTTATTTTGTCAAAGAGGACACTGAGGCTTGCAGAAGCTGGGCAACATGCCTAGGTCACACAACTGATAAGGTAGAGCCTGATTCAAACGTGCCTTTGGTCTACACCATGCTCTTAACTGGTGTTACAGGGCAGTGGTGATAAGTAAGGAAACCCAAGCACTCATGCTGGTTAACTCTAAGACCTTGGGCTCCAAATCCCCTATCTATAAAATGACAAGGCCAGGCTGGATACGCTTCAAATGGCTCTTCTATTTCTAAAATGTTGAGTTTTAAAAATCAACAATCTATGGTTTACAAGAGAGACAGTTAAGTCAGAAGGCGTATGTATAATAATAGTGAATCATACTCATGGGAAAATTTTAAAAATAGGAATTACCATCATGCTAGCAGATGAAAGTAATTGTGAAATTAAAGCAGCACTGAGATACACATTAAGGTCACCATGAAAAGTGAAAGATACATAAAGCAATAAAGCCTTGTAGTGATACTGAACGCACACATCTTAAACATGTACCAGGAAAGTGCCTAAAAGAAAAACTAGCAGAAATGCAAGAAATATATGTAGATCTCTCTCCCTCTCTCAAAAAGGTATCAATGAGAATTTATGAGAAAGAAATGGGAATGCTAACAAAATGGGGTGGGGAGGGGGAGAGGAATGGATGGAAAATGGGATTGGAAGGTCTGAGTACAGAATAATGAGGGAAGAATTTATGGATACATTGTGTGAATCTAAAGGTAGCACATAAGAGTACTCTCTAGGGCTTCCCTGGTGCGCAGTGGTTGAGAGTCCACCTGCCAATGCAGGGGACACGGGTTCGTGCCCGGTCCGGGAAG